TCCATGAAGTGGTCTCCCTAACAAGACATGTGTTTATCTGACACTCTAGTTTACATTTAATTTGATCTTACAATTATGAAGATCACACTTAATTTGGAAAGCTTCTTTTAAGAAAATGAAAGCGATTTAGATTTTTATTGCATATTTATCAAGTGTCTTTATAAACAATTTGGTAACTATGTTGAAGAATGTTTATTTTTAAAAATTGCATCTCCCAATTTATAGAACTAAAAATTTATAATGAAGTGGGACACATAAAGAGTAATAATACTATCTAGCATCCAAATACTGGCAAACCTTTACCATTCCTAATAGCTTTGACCGCAATAGAAACAATGACACCTCAAACCATAGACTGACAGCAGCAGAAGCAGCTGTGGGGTGGGGTGACAGGCAGTCACAAGTAGCATTAGCATGGGAAAGGGGTGAAGGAGACGTCACTCATCCTGTGGGCATGTATTGGGTAAGGTCCTATGATTGCAGGCCAAAGGAAATTGACCATGGCTAACTTAAAGGGACAAAATAAATTTAGTGGAAATACATTTATTGGAAGTTTATGCCAATACTCTATTAGGGGTTTTAATAGGTTCACTTTTTAATATCTGCAACAACCCTGAAAGATACTTATGGATAAAGAAAATAGGCTCTGAAGGCAAAGGCATTATCCCCCTCTAGCTCATTATATATAGCAAGCTGTATTTTTGTCACCAAGGGTGACAAAAAAATGTACACATATTTTAAGAGATGTTATCTATGCTCAAGCTAGTAGTTCGCCATAATCAGAAGTGCCTGGACGCTGATGGTAACCACTCTGAGCACTCTTGTAATTGCAGAAGTCAAATGTGACTTGTGTTCATCTTTTGTTATTGGTATATATTGAGTATTACAATTTTAATACAGTTTTCCTTTCTTAAACTGTGTATACATTTTTTGGGCCCCCTGTGTTTTTGAATGAGGCATGATTGCTAATCTGTATTTGCAAATCTGGTTTCTTTTGGAGGTGATGGAAATATTCTAAAACTGTGGTGACAGTTGTACAATTCTGAATATGTTACAAGCCATTGAATTGTGCACTTTAAATGGGTGAATTTGGGGGTATATGAGTTATATTTCAAAAAAAGCCGTTATGTTAAAAAAAAAAGATTGTGTAAGTCTCCAAACTCAATTATCATACTTGATAACATTTGTCTCAAGACCAACAAAGTTATTAAATAACCCTATAAACTGTATAATTCTCTAAAATACAAAATGCAAAATAATTTCATTTCATAAAAATCTTAGTTTCATAAATATTAAAATATAACCATGATTACATTTCAATGTGTAGCAGCAAGGATGGTAGTCCTGAGGTTACAGCTTTATTTGTACTTAATAAAAAAATAAAATGTGAACTTTTTTTTAAAGCACAATTTGTTTTTGGGATATCAGACCACAGAAAGCTTTAACCCCTCAACCAGTAGAGAAAAAGAAAGAAGAAACTATTGAAATTCCTTTTGACATACCGACTACTTTTTTGCACCTAGATCTCTCCTGGAAACCTCTCTTTAAGGTAAGTAGCACGGGATTTATTCCACCCTATTTGCTTATATACACTATATAATTTATATGCATAGACAACCCTACATACACTCTAAAAAGAAAGCAGCTCAAATAAATACAAGACTTTACAATTCATGATTCATTCATCCAATAAATTCCTTAATTGAGTTATTGTGATGCCTGCCCATATCAACCCCCAAATGACAATTATTGTGAACTTGAAATTAATATTTGCTCATGNATATATATATATATAATTTGGGGTTTTCAGGAAGTGAATGAGACCAAGTTCAAAGGAGAGGTTCACTGAGGGTCACACTGTGAAAATTAAAGGAAAGGAAAGCGGGGTTGGGCAGGGAGAGCTGCAGACAGACTCAGCCAGCCCGACAGGGAGCTGCAGATGTAGATGCCCAGTTGGAGAGTCCTGCAGGAGGCAGAACTGGCCAGGCCCTGCTGTCCCCACAGCTGCTGTGCTCACTGGCCTGGAGAGAGCAAGCCTTGGCCAGGGAACCAAGGTGGATGGTAAATGCTAGCTAGATGCTGTCAGCTAACCACATCCTGAGGGCTGAACAGCAAATTATTACAAGTTCTGAGTAGCACACTACCATGAATTATTTTTTTCTCTTAAGTCATTTATTTTCACATTTAGTTACTAAATACAGTTGAGAATATATTTTTTCTTTTAGTACAAATGAAGTAGGGGGAGTTGCTGAAAGGTATATCATTGAATACTAAAATCTGACATCTTTATTGATTTTTTTTTTTTTTTTACAAAATAGTGTTGAAATAGCCCTGCAGCAAAATGAAATCATGAACACATTTATTGATGACTGGAAATGCCTGGCAGAGGAAGAAGGCACCTTTGGGGACAAGTCTGATACCCACCTGAAGGAGTACCAGTCCTTTACTGACCTTCATAACCTAACAGAGAAAATGATCACCTGCGTCTCATGGCATCCGGAGATCTATGGTGAGATGGAAGAGACTGTGATTCCCTTTGTGATGACATTGAAATAGCCTGTTGCTTTTATGTGTAAAATTGCGAATTAGCTCAATTTCAATAAGACATCTTCCATTTGCTGAGTGCCAGGCACCTGCCAAATGCTTTCTTTCCCCACCTTCTCTCAGTCATGTGTCCTACAAGCAATGCTATGGGACATCTCTGTGACCTCTGCTTTACATGAGGAGGACCAAACTCAACTCAGGGAAGTGACTGGCTGGCTCAAGTCATCCAGCTGGTGCAGTGCCACATCTGGATTTGACTCAAGGCTGTTGGATGCCCAAGGCTAATGTTCCCCCTGACACTCTGCCTCAATGATCAATTGATTACTGGACAAGATAGGAAACACACCTCCTTTAAAGGGCTGAAAAGCCAAGGGAGGTAGGAATGTGTGAAGGTGGGACTTCCCAGAGAGAGAGGTCCCTGTTCTCTTTCTTCCTTCTCTCCTTCTCCCATTGGCCCTTTTCTCACTAAACAAACAAAAACCTTTTTTT